GGTGGCACACAGCTGTAAGCCCAGCACTCGGGGCTGAGGCAGAGGGATTTGAGGCCAGCCTGGGATACACAGTGAGTTCAAGGCCAGCCTGAACTACATGGAAAGACCCTTTCTAAAAAATAAAAAACAGGAAAAAAAATTAGATAAAAGTCATAGAAAAAAACAGATAAGAACTAGAAGATAAAGAAGGAGAAAAAAGAAATCATGGAGAATAAAGATCGAAGACAAAAAAAATTCAAAACGGGGGGGGGGAAGGAAGAAAAATTGTAAAAGGAAAAACAACAAACGATAAGTCTCAGAAACTCAATAAACTAGTGAAGAAAAACAAAACACACATATATACATACAAAAAAATTTTCTCTGATTTTGAAGGCGTGGTTTTCTTTCAGGATGTATAATTTCAGAGCAGTGTCCATGTCAAGGGGTGTCCTGTATCTTTAGCTCAAATCCCTCAGGGGTTGTCTCTTGTCTCCAGCACAGTCGCCGGCAGCTGGCTGCAGTTCTCTGTGGCTCTCACTCAATCACCTTGAGCCCGCACTGCTGGGAGCCCTGAGTGAAGCTGTGTAGCTGCCATGAGTCCCAGCTTTAAGCAATGGACCCTTCCCTTAATGGAGTCCTACATCTGCTTGTACTGCAGTAACTCACCAGCTATTGCGTGCCCCGTTGAGCAACTGCGCAGGAGCAGAGTCCTTAGCTCTCCCTGCCAGCACAGTACCAGCCAGCCCCAGGCAGTTGGCTACTGTACTTCTCCCAGGGATCCCTGGGGTCTCTAGCATTCACTGTCTCTGAAGCTTCGGTTTTCCTTTCCCAAGAGTCTGGAGCCAGGGACAGTTCAGACTGCCTCTTTCTTTCTCCAGCCTGTGTTCTGTCGCTTCAATTTCTCTGTAGCTTTCATTTTCTGTCAGATCTATCCCGGTTCTCAGGATCTACTCTTTTATTTTTCCCAAAGGTGTAATTTTCTCACGTCTCAATTCTGAATCTTGGAAAGGCTAAGTTACTGTTGCTTACCACTCTGCCATTTTTTCCCCATCTTGCCTGAGCTTCTTCTTCCATTTTTTAAAAAAAGTTTTAATCACTTTTTGGTCCCTTGAGTTTCCGTAGGAACTTTACATCACCTTGTCAACTGCGGCAAAGCCAGCTGGGATTTGATGGGGGCTCTGATGAATCTATCGGATGGAATTGATTGGTAAATCTTATAGTATGTACTTCAGTTTTCAACCTTCTGCTTTTCAATTTATCAAATATAAAAAATGATATGCTAAAAATACACTTTGATGAATTACAGTTGAATATTTGAGTTTAAATATACATCTTATTTTTGTACTGTATTCCCATGCCCCCTTTATCACCTTTTTGCCTGGTTTTTTGTTTTGTTTTGTTTATTTTTGTTTTCTCTGTTTCTTCCAGTGCAAGGAACTAAACCCAGAGGCCACAAATGCTAAGCAAGTGCTCTAGTGCTGAGCTATGTCCTTTCTCTCTTATTTTTTTTGTACTGGGAATTAAACTCAGGACCTTGCACCAGGCACTTATGCTGTTGAGCTCTCTCTCCAGCTTTAATTTTTCTTATCCCACATGTTCCTTTCTCTACTAATTTCAAAGTTTTGCTCTTTACTTTTTTAAAAAAAATATTCATATCATTTAAACTGCAATATAAAAATCTTTAATAACTTTAATATTAAAACCATTTCCAGATGCAAAACACATTTAACTACTAGACTCACTGCTTGATGTGTTAATACTATTTCATTCATCTGTAAGACATAATTGTTTCATAAATATTCATTTAGCTTTAGGCTACCAATTAGGCTACCAATTTAATGGGGAAAAAAAAAGCAAAACTGGAATCCTCAACTTTGGCTTGTGCTGGATTTTTTATCTTTTAATCATTTTGGGGGGTGTGCCGGGGAGATGGCTCAGTAGAATAAGCGCTTTCCTGGCAAGTGCAAGGGCCTGAGTTCAATCCCCAGTTCTGGCAAAAAATAAAAAAATAAAAAAATAAATCCATTCTAAATATGGTCAGCTTCCTCATAAGCTATCTTTTATCTACTCATTTCCATACAATCAATTCTCTGAAAAAGCAACTAGTGACCTTTCAAAAATAAAAATTCACATTATTTAAAATCCTGCACTTAGGCTAAGTGCCATACAATTTAACATGGCCCACAGATTCTAATAGGACATGACCGTATATCCATAATTATCTTTTTATATTAGACAAACCGTTTGGTTCCTCAAATACGACAATCTCTCCCTCTTATCCATAAGACAGACTTATTATTCCCTCCTTCTTGGAAAGGTGTTTCTGTATTCTCTGCATGGCTAATTTCTAAACCTCTCTTCAAATTTCACCATAATTTGACTCTCTGAGGCAAGTTCTCTGACTATCTAATTGAACAACAATTGCTTATTTTTTAACTTTTTTTTTTAGAGGGGTACTACCAAGAAACTACTCAGGATCTTATGCTTACCAAGAAGGAGCTGTGTAACTGAGTTAAATCCCTGGCCCTGCATTTTAATTTTAGCAAAATTATCATAATTTATAATTAAGTACATGCTGGCTGTGGCAGAACATGCCTGTAATCCTTGCACTTAAGAAGCTGAGGCAGGAGGATCATACTAAGCTTGAGGACTGCCTGGGCTACATGAAGGGCAGGACAAGCCTGAATTAGAGGGAGACCCTGTCTCAAAAAAGAACAGAAGTACACAATGTGGGTTTAAGGTCTGTTCCCTAATTATCTACAAATTCCAAGCACAAAGAAACTGTTTATCCTCATTGTGTACTCAAGAACTAGCATAGTCCCTGGATTATAGCAGTTACTCAGTGAACATGTTAAATGTTAAATAGTTGCTCTTTATGCAGACCCACAAAAGAAGTAAATATCTAATTAGGAGTTATGTGATATGCAGCTAAGTGGTAGAGCATTTGCTTAGCTTCCTACAGAAAGAGGGAAGGGCACAAGAGAGGAGAGTAAGTTAATGACAGGAATACAGGTAAGAATCAGGTGAAAAGAAAACACCTACAATTTATCCATAATATTTAAAAGTTACATAGCCAATATTACTGTCTCTTGGTTAATGTTTAGTGAACAAGGTTAGCACCTGCCTCAGTAAGACAACATATAACTATTATTGTCTAAAATCATCTATAAATTCCTTGCTTTGCAAGTTGACTTGAAAGTTAGCTGAGCATGGTAGTGTATCCTTGTAATTTCAGCACTCAGGAGTTTAAGGAAGGAGGATCACCTTGAGTTCCAGGCTTACTTGGCCAACACTGTGAGTTCAAGACCAGCCAGAACCAGTGAGACCCTGTCTCAAAGAATAAAAAGTTTCCTTTTTGGGACTCTTGTAAACATCTTGCTACAAATTAAATATTACATGTGGTGGTTAGTTTCCTTTGACAAGTGTATAATATTTAATCTACAAGTCATTTATTATTTTAACAAATATAAATTGAGTAATATTTTATGGCAGAAACTGCTTTAGTACTGGACACAACAGCAAATAAAGTAGACAAAAAGTCCTTGCCTTATAGATCTTACTTTCATATGCTCATACAGAATAGTAATAAAACGCACAGAAAGGCAGATGGCAACATAGGCTATGGTGAAACATAATGCAAGATCAAGGAAAAGATTAGAGGGGATATAATTTTAACCTATTAAAATTTATTTATATTTGTTTCAAAAAGTATTTAAGACACATATTATTTATAGATCCTAAGTGTCATAACTAAGAAATAATGTCCATGCAAGGAATCACTTTTAACTCTGAAGTTTACAGAACACAAGTTCTTTCCCACAACAGTAGGACAGGCACACAACTGTTCAGGCTCTAAGTCACTTAACAAGATTATCATAGTGGGGGTCCCCAAAAAAGCAGTAGTTAAAGGTGACTGAAAGCAGGCACAGAAATTATAGGAAGAAATGAGAAGCCAAGAAGGAAAGCACACTTCTTCATGACACAAGGCCCAGGGGCAGGCAGTCTTCTATTCAACCACTCTCAGGCCAGCTTATCTTTCTGTAACTCTAATCAGGCCACCTTGATATTTAGTGCCCTGTATAAGATTATATAACTATCCCCTCATTATTCAATCCATAAAACAAATGATTAACTCTAGAGTTTTTTCTAATAACTTTAATGGCTAAAAAAAAAGATTCCTTTTTATCCCTACCTGTGCCATTATAATTCATATAAAAAATTGCAGACAACCAGTAAACTACCATTTTACCTTAGTAATTGGAATAGAGGACAGGACCCAGAGTAAAATGCAAGAAAATAAAAAACTGGAATATGCTTTCAAACAGCATCCCAAGCACCTTAATAATGACTGGACAAGAGATAATCAGCCAATTTAATCTTTTACATTTTGTTTATAATCATTTTTACTAGGTGAAAGCATGCATCTTAGACTAAGATGAGAAAGAATGAAGGGAATGTGAAAAAAAAATCCCTTTTAAAACCAACAGATCTTATGGCTGGTGCCCTGGCCAAGTAAAGAATGTGCTATAAGCGAGGCGTGGAGGCACATGACTGTAATCCCAGGACTTGGGAAGCCAAGGTAAGAGGATCACTGCAAGTTCAAGGCCAGCCTGCGCTACACAGTGGATACAAGGTCAGCTTGAAATACATAGCAAGACCCTGTCTCAAATCCAAACAAAACAAAATGAATGAGCTATAAAAATAAGTCTGTAAAATAAATTCAGTTAATTCTTTTATATAAGAAAAGGTCTTGTTATGGTTTTTACCTGAAAAAAGCAAGCATTTTAGTCAATGGGAACGAATGCTTTTTTTTTTTTTTTTTTGCTTAATTTTTTAAAGTATTCATCATGTCATTGGAAACCATTCACTCAACTGTGACTCTCAAATATACTTACAGGAATTTTTCTAACTAAGCATTTATTCATATTCAAAATTCATTAAAATGCCTCTAGTTTAATACAAGCAGTAATGTATAAACAGAAAAAACTACCAGCAAAACAATGCTGGCCAGATATAATTACCTTTATGGCTGTGTGTTTTTCATCTTCCATCCATCCACAGATCTTCCTCATAGTAATAAAAGCCATCATTGATAACTTTAGCAACTTCTGATGTAAGTTTTGCCTGAGATATGTGGTTGCCTGTTCAATCTTCAGGAAGTTTTCTCATATAAGATGCTGTCTGAGTTACAATCAAAATCCTGTTTAAATCCTGGTCATCAATTTCATAATCTCAATCATTATCAGACCAATCAGTAAATGTATTTTTTTCTTCCTTCTGTTTCTTCCATCTCTTCAAATAGAGAATCAAGTTCTTCTTGTTATTGTTTTTCTAGAAGACTCTATTGATTTGATGCCTCTTCAGGTTTAAGTTTGATTCCTAAAGGTAGAAATTAGTATTGTATATGAAAGCATTCTTCATCACTTTTTTTAAAATGTCACATAATTATATCCTAAGTTATATCAAGCTTGTATGCTCATTGACTATAATTTAGCAGCTAAACTGGGAAGAATATTAAACCAATATTATTTTGGTCCCAGCATTAGAAGGTCAAGTCCATAGGACCTCTGTATTTGCTAAGCATATGAGCCATACCACACTTTCAGAAAAATGGTCTTTGAATGGGCACATCTAAAAGTAACAAGTAGGACCGGGGAGATGGCTCAGTAGAATAAGCGCTTCCCTGGCAAGCACAAGGGCCTGGGTTCAATCCCCCGGTTCCGCAAAAAATAAAATAAAAAATAAAAAAATAAAAGTAACAAGTAAAATCCATACTAATTTACTAACACTCAACCAAAAAAATCACCAGATATTAAGGGACAACTAATATCCTATAAAAGAGTTCAACAAACAAAATTGGTGAAAATAAAGATTAAGAAGGAAAAAAAATCACTTTAAAATCCTCAAAATATTATAAAGCTCTGAGGCAACTCAATTTTATGAAAGGAAAACTGCATGTAACCAAGATGACAAAATAAAAATGTTTACAGAATTTAATGGAAAATTACATCGAATTACATACTCCCTCTATAGTGTTTCAGAAAGATCATTTTAGTAGGCTGTGAATATAGTTCAGAGATTCAATGCATGCTTAGCACACAAGAGGCCCTGGATTCAATCCCCAGTGCTGAAGATTAAAAGTTAAGTTTTAAAAAGTTCACTGACAATAATCAGGCATGTTGGTGCACACCTATAATTCTGGCACTGGAGAAGCTGAGGTTGGAAGATCACCATGAGTTTGACATCAGTCTGGGATGCATAGTGAATCAACACCAGCCTGGACTACCCTATCTCAAAAAAAAAAAAAAAAAAGAAAGAAAGAAAGAAAAAGAAAAGAAAGTAGTACCTTGATAATGTTGTCAAAAACTAACCCACTCCCACAAGATCTCAAGTTTGATTCCTGGTACAAAACAAACAAAAAAACCCAAAAAAACAACCCACTTCAACAAAAGCATACCTTGATAAACTAGAAATTATATAGCATCTTTACAAAGTGTTTGAGAAAGGGTCTTTAGGATATTCTAATGCACAATGAGCCAGGCATGGTGGCACACTCCTGTAATTCCAGCATGTATATCTGGCAAATAGAAAAGACACTAACCCTCCACTCCACCAAAGGAGTATCATACCTTACCTGGTTTTAACAACTTACCTTTAATTTCATGGGGACAGATGATGCCTCTTTTATACTTCTATCCAAGGTTCTGAGTCCAAGTCAGGTAAACTGGTAGACAAACCTCTAAACATTGCTTGCAGACTACTTGTTTCAGTATTTTTCTTTGGAATCAAAGGACTTCCAATTCTTGGAGAATTTGGGGCAGACTCTAGAATTTTAAATTAGTTCTACAGTTAAAATAACAAGTTTTCTTATTTCAGCATTTCATTTGTTCCTGGTTTATTTTGTCCACAAAACACATAACAAATCAATCTCAATTAAAATTTTTCCAGTGACTATCAAACATGAAGTTCTTTTAATAACATTTACTCAAAAGAATAGTCACTGAATAATAAAAGGTGTATCACTAATCCTTACACAGACCACCACCGCTCAAACTTAGAATGTCGATGTGGATAAGCATGTTGGTAAATCATCTGTGAATCAAGTTATTTGTAAAATTATTAAAACCTATAAATTGTAATTATGGACTTTCAAATGCTGTTAGGCCTCTTTTACTTCAGATAAAACTGATTTTGATTGATTAGAGGCTAAAGTAACCACCTTATTTTCTTTGCTCAAAAAAGTTTGTCTACGTGAACGAAAGAGCATCCCCTCTTACCACCATGGCTCATACTGAAAACTGCAAAGCACAAATGTAACCACATTAAAGAACAGTTTGAGTGACAAAGTTTAGAAATTCTAAAAGCAAAACTGTAGGTCAGGCACTGCAACACATACCTGTAATCCCAGCACTCTGAAAGACTGAGGCAGGAGGATCACAAGTTTGAGCCAAGCTTGAAATTAGCATATCGGGAACATTTGATCTCAAAATCAAATTACAAAAAGGGTTTCCGAAGTAGCTTTGGAGGGACAGGGCCTGGATTCAACTCCCAGAAAGGAGTGTAAAAGGGGCAGGCCTGATGTGATGGTACATGCCTGTAATCCTACCATGTGTGAGGCTGAGTCAGGAGCACAGAAAATTTGAGCCCACCCTAAGCAATTTAAGCAAGACCAAGTCCCAAAATAAAGAAAAACTAGCTAAGAGTATAGTTCGGTGCAAAGGCCCTAAGATCAACCCCTAGAACCAAACAAAAACTGTGGTGAGTTAAAAAGTCTTTCTTTTCAACATCATAACATTTGCCAGTTTGATTTTTGGAGACAAGGTCTCATATAGTTCAGGCTGATTCTGAACTCACTACATAGCCCAGGATGGCCTTGAACTCACAGCAATCCTCCTGCCTCAGCCTGCTGAGTGCTGGGATTACAGGTGTTCACCAACACACTTGGCTGCATTTTTGCCAGTTTTCAAATATAAGAATTACATACTCTATAAAATTAAAACTGCTTCCTTTATATTTGTAAGTGAATTTTACATTTTCATCCTAAAATCTTTTGTTGGACATAGGATCTCAATGATGGAGTTCAGAGTGACTGTTGAACAATGTAGCCTTTGAACTCCCAGTGATTCTCCTGCCTTGGTCAAGTGCTGAGAGATGAATGACACCATGCCAGGTTTTTAAAATATTTAAGCGGGTTCTGGGGGGGGTGTGGCTCAATGATAATGCTTACCTACTATGCATGAGTCCCCAGATTCCATCTTCAGCACTAAAAACATCTATGAAAAAATTATTTTAGAATTCTGAGCTATTTGTATATTTAGATATTTCTACTGGAGGCTGCTATTCTACCCTCCCTCTCCTTTTCAGTCCTGGTGATAGAACCTGGGCCCTTGTGTATGAACAGCAAGTATACTACCTCTGAGCTACACCAATTGCTCATTTTATATTGAGACAGGGCTTAAATTTCCCAGGTTTGTTTATAGGTGTGCAATATCACAGCCAACTACAACTTCTTATATTAATAGTACATCTATTGCCCACTCATTCACAGAAGTGTAAGTAAAACACAAGAGTATAGACTATTACACACTCACAAAGCTTAGTAATGGAGAGATGTGCTAATACTGTGAGTTATATATATCCATAGTGAATAAAACCTTAAAAGCAAACAATCCCTACCCCACTATATGTATGAATTCTACTCATATATATATTGGGAGAATTAAACTGTAATATATAGTCCATATAGAAATAAGAACAGCACTTAGCATATGATAGGAAAATCAAAAGCTACTGTTTAAGGTAGAAATGTTATTTTTTTTAACATCCTCAGTTTATTATATAATAATGCCTAACTTGTCTTTAAACTTCTACCATGAAAATGTTTGATTATGTTTACACATGCTTGGAAATGCAATATTAAAATATCAAAAGAATTTGGGTAAGCAAGAAAACTTACAAGTTTTATGAGACTTTAAAAAAGTATTTAATGGGGCTGCAGAGATAGCTCAGCAGTCTTAAGCACCTACCTGGCAAGCGCAAGGACCTGGGTTTGATCCCCAATACCATACGCCATGCCCGCCCCAGAACCCTGGGCACACTGTGCCAACCATCAAAGCCAGACACAGTAGTGCATCCCTGTAATTCCAGTGCTGGGAGAGGCTGACACAGGAGGATCACTAAACTCTGAACTTGTGTAGGGAGACCCTGTACCGAATAAATAAAAGATTTAAAAAATTTAAAAATATTTAAGGAAAATTAAGCTACACCTAAGTAAAAAGTATGATGTATCATGAACATGTACTAGCTTCCTACGATGAATGTAATCATTATGTGTAAATACATATTAAGAAAAAAATTATATTAAAATGTTATACAGATAACCTAAGCTTTTTGCATCTATGTTTTTATAATGAAAAGATTTCAATGCTGGGTGTGGTAGCACATGCCTGTAATCCCAGCACTTGGGAGGCAGAGGTAGGAAGATTATAGAGTTAGAGGCCAGCCTAAACCACATAGTGGGTTCTGCAAAAAAAAAAAAAAAAAAATTTCCTTAGGTAATTGGAGCTGGGGAGACGGCTCAGTAGAATAAGTGCTTGCTTGGCAAGCACAAGGACCTGAGTTCAATCCCCGGTTCTGCAAAAAAAGAAAAAAAATTTTTCCTTAAACCACATAGTGGGATCTTAAAAAAAAAAAAAAAGAAAGAGAACACTTCAAGCCATACATTTGTAATGTTTGTTTTTGGTTTTGTGAGACAAAAATCACACTATGTAGAAATCAGACTGGCCTTGAATTTGTGGCAATCCTCCAATCTCAACCTCCCATATCCTGAAATTACAAGTAATACCACCCCCAGCAACATTTATAAAGTTTAAGAACAGCAAACTCCTAATCTTCCAAATAAGTTTAAATATGTTTAAATATAGGTTTAATTATTTGACATTAAACATACATAGATTTAAAAAAAAAAAACCTTACACAGTCAACACATGTGTTAACCTGTAAGAACATATAAATTTATCTTTGCTGGTTTTAGTAAGTGAAAATTTCAACTTGGCTCTCCAAATATAAGTCACCATAAATTTGCATTTATCTTGTACTGCTTTGTTTTCCACCTAGGAAGGATCACAGCTCTGGCCACAAAGGTTTCTTTTCTAAAGGACTATTTCATGTGTAACATTTAAGGACACTTCTAGCTATAAAGTTTTCAAAGGAAAATCCCACAGCTTATTCATTAGATCTCATACATTTTTTTTAAAAAAGTACCTTCCCCAAATCAGTATTGTCAGACACCTGCTTTTGAACTCTGATGAAATTCCTTAAGAGTGCACTGGCTGGGGATATAGCTCAGTGGTACAAGTAGTTGCCTAGCAAGCATGAGGGCCTGATTTTGATTTCCAGCATCAAAATAAAACAAAAAGAGTGGATGGTGCAATACTGCATCCATAGAACAGTAGAGTCCACATTATAAAAAAAGAATTTTACCATTCTCTTTGTCAACCTTTTGTAGTATATTAAGGTCTGTCAAGGGGCTGAGAAAGAGGATTCAAACATGTTTTAAAATTTGTACCATACAATCATGGCTTAAAAAAATTTAAAGTCCTCTAATTTGAGATCAGCACATATAGATAGAAGTTTTACTACTTTTCTGTGCCTAAGACAATCTACACTTTCTAAATTGTTTCCACTTAAAATTTTTGCTGACATTCTACTTAGGGTTTCTTAGTACAAGCAGGAAATCATGAAGGTCAGAAATTTGAAGACTCCTGAGAAAAGGTGATTTGTCTATTATTCCTATGACAATATGAATTGGCATAATTCTAAAAAACACTTCCATTATTATCTCTATTTACTATTAGATTCTGATGTGCAATATATAGCAGTATTTTAATACTGCACTGACTTGTTTGTACATATAATAGTATTTGTATGCATTTATATTAAAAAACACAAAATATACAAAAAATAATTTTATTGTAATTTTATTAATACAATAAATGGGTAATGAATGGACAGGCATCACCAACTTGACAACTATCCTGTGGGAAAAAAATATTCATATTATCCAACTTACCAATGATTGTTCATATGCTGATTAAAAATGTCATCTTGGACCCTGTTTTTATACAATAAATAATTCTAATTTATACAATAAAGCCATTATATCTCTTTAAAAAGTTAAAAACTAAAATAAAGCTATCACTTTTCTTCAACTTTTAAAACGTTTGTTCAAGTTTCTTACTGGGATTAGAAGCAGAGCACTGACAAATACAAAATAAAAATATTTGTGAGACTGACTGTTAATGTTTTATCGATGGGCAGGTCTCTCATTCATGTATCAAAAAATACATTTCCAATAGTAAAGTAAAAAAAATCCTTGTTCATTTCTTAAATTTATTTGCCCTCAGCTTTCCACGTTAATAAATTTTATACTCCATGTGAAACATGACAATGTTATGTAACATACACTACACTGAAGGGCAAATCAAATAGCAAGACCTAACATTCTGGGAAAGGTTTCTCTATCCTGTTTTCCTGCTTTATTGCTCTGGACATAAGAACATATGCCTGTAAACAAAAGAATCTTGCAGTATGTTCACAATGATAATAATTAACTTTCCCACCATGAAGTAAAGTAGCCCATGCAGCCCAGGCCAATTACATAGAAATGGGCAGCTCCTATGGTAACAGCAGTCCTCTGGTCTGTCTCACAGCATCATCGCAAGGTGGTTGTCTCCACTGTAGCACTGGCCCAGCCTCCTCCACAGAGGGTTGGGAGTAGACACTGTTGCACAGGAGACAGTCTGGTTGCTTTCATTTCCACAGCACGGTTTGTTCCAATATTTATAATGGTATATCACCTATTCCACTGCATATCCCGATCAAGTGACATCCAAGAGCATCAGTAGATCATCACCCTGACTGAAAAAAGTTTAAGCACATTTTTTTCCCAAGAGGGAACATCTTTAAAATGATCCAGGAAAAGGTTAACACTAAAGCAGTTTTGGAAAATTCTGAACATAACCAGATTAAAGAGAATCCCAATTCTTCTTTAAAATATGGGTCATCATATCTTTACAAGTTTGTAGTGCTTTGGTAACAAAGTTAAAGGCTATCCCACTCTTGAGTATAAAACTCTTAAGACTACTCCAATCACAGAAGGGGAAGACTGGCACAATGTATTTATAATCATTGAATAAAATAAAAAGGCAGAAATTCCACACATGACAAAGCATACATAGTTTAAGAGCAAGAAACACAAGAGTGTCACCAATTATCTGTAAATCCCTATTTAAATTATAGCTTTGCATGGAAGGCAATATAAATAAAATTTAGAGCATTAGAAGCCTACTTTTTTTTGGAGGTGGGGTCTGGGAATTGGCTTGCTAGGCAGATGCTTGTGCCTCTGAATTATATCCACAGCCCCAGAAGTTATTTAGTCAGCTTTAAATTTACAACAAAACATAAGATGGACTAAAAAGAAGCAAAATGGAGCAAATAGCTTGCTGTTATATTGTTTGCTCTAGTACAAAAACTGTTACCTGTGTGTGAGCAAAAGGCTTGGCCTGGTACAAACTCCGGACAATCAATCAGCTGGGAGAAATCGGTTTGTGGCACAGTTCGTGGAGGAGGGCCTGGGATTGGCCATTTTTCTGGTTCTACCCTTTTTCTCATTTTCTCATCCACAATTTCAACTTCTGTGCTATCCTTCAGTGCCTGGCAACAGGAATTATTAAACAACTTCTATTCAAACAACTTTCATTTCTAATAACTAAACCCCATAAAATCTTAAGTTAGCAGACTACATTGCAGTTAACAGCTCTAAAAAATTCATAAACTAGTCAGAACAGAACAAATTTTAAAATCACTCTTGTAAAGTGACAACTATCATGACTTACCAAAGGTTTACCTTGTAGCATGAGGTTTTTGCACAAGTCATTTAAGATTTTTTAGGGGCTGGCCAAATAGCTCAGTGGGTTAAAGAGTCTGCTTAGGCAGACACAGGGGCTGGGAGTTCAATCCCAGGCCTGCTGTGCCAGCCCTGCCCCACGGGCACATTGAGACAGCAATTGAGACTGGGCATGGTGGTGTATGCCTGTAAGTCTAGCACTTGGGAGGCTGTAAATAGGAGAATCACTATGAGTTCGATCTATGTAGTGAGACCCTGAACACCCTGTAGACCCTTCCCTAAATACAGAAAAAATAAATGAATAAAAATAAGAATCTTTAAAATTCTTTATATAGGGTCTTGGTATATCAGCTTGGACTTGTAGTGATCGTCCTGTCTCAGCCTCCCCAGCACTGGGATTACAGGTGTGTGCTAACACACATGGATTTGGGGCGGCAAGGCACACCTGGGGTTCCTGGGCTGGCACTGCATGTGGTAATGGGAATTGAACCCAGGTCTTGTGCTTGCTAGATGGGCACTTAAGACTGCCAAGTTATCACCCCAGCCCTAACTTAAGCAATACTAAATCAAACAGAAACACATGGGCTTTGCCGTCAATTGAGCTTTATTGTCTATTTTTTTTCTCATGCTTTGTCTTCCCTTAAAATTGTATCACCAAATAAAATTCAGGCATTATTTTATTATAATGACTACAAGTACTTGTTGGATAGGTACTATGCATGCATGATTTTAGTATCCCACATGTAGGATTTATGCCTATTCTATGGAAAAACTGATGCTTAAATAAGTTTAATTTTTTTAAAAAAAGTACAGGCTTACAATAAATCATTTATTGCCTGCCTACAACTAAAAGCCTTAGCCATTAGGCTATACGGTCTCCTAAAAATGTGTTATAAAACTGAAGCACATTAAAAAAATTTTTTTTTACTTTTTTCCGTGTAGTCCTGAGGCTTCACACTGATCTACATCCTGTTTTGTTCCATTTCCCCTTGAGACAGGGGTCTTGCTAAATCACTAAGCTGCCCAGGGTAGGTTTGAACTTGGGGTCCTCTTCTCCCAGTGGTGAAATTATAGGCATGCAATACCACACCTGGCATCACTTTAGCCTTTAAACCATTAAAAGCCTACTGATTTAACATCTATGTTGGAGATTTAGGCTCAACAGCACAAGTGCTTTCCTGGCAAGGCCAAGATCCTTGGTTTGATTATCAGTACCAAAAAAAAAAAAAAAAAAAAAAAAATCGAAATTCAGGAATGCTTACCATTTAGAAATGATATGCAAAATATTTCAGAACAACATATAATTAGTGTTGTAACTCATGCCTATAATTCCATCACTTAAGAGGCTGAGGCGGAATCACAGTGAGTTTGAGAATAGCCTGGGCTACGTAGTGAGCTAGCAGCCAGGTTGAGTGGCAGAGCTAGATGCTGCCTCAAAACAGTCTTGTTGACCTTAAGGGAAAATTTCATCTGGTTCTAGTCCAGTTCAGCTGAACTGAGGTAACACATACATCTTATGTGTATGTTAACTTACAAAAACTAAAACTCAATTTAAAAAAAGAGAACATTTGTTCGTGTATCACTTTTTAAAACCTGTCATTTGTATTCCTTAATATTAACAACACGCTTCAGTATTTTTCATTGCTTTAAAATTAGGATTAAAATTTATGGAAAAGCAAACTCCTTTGAAAAGGAAATCTGATTTAAAAACAGAAAAAGAAGTCTGAATTATGTCTAGGAGAAAAATGGAAACAATCCTATAGCAGTGGACTTGAACAGTGTTACCTGTGTATTTTCCTCATTATGTTTACTGAAGGATCTCAAAGCCCAGTAACAAACAGTATACCCTGCATCCAGATCCTCATGGGCATAATCTGTATCTTGTTTGGGATGGCAACTGGACTTAACTTTCCAAAACTTACACTGAACACTTAAGATTATTATATTTCACATGTTGTCCATACCTGTAATTAAAAACAACCCCCAACCAAACAAAAACTCCTTTTAAGTTTCCCATGGGCTTAAATTTTTCAAAATAAACTTGTGGGAAAAAAGACTGCGAATTTTTTTTTGAAGATATGGTTTCCTATTTTCCTCCCCTGAGACAGGGTCTTGCTATGTAGTTCAGGCTGGCATTGAATTCACTATGGTGCCCAGGCTGGTCTCAAACTTGAGGCAATCCTCCTGAGCCTTCCAAGTACTGGATTATAGACATATATCACCACACTTGGCTTAGTATGGCTTCATAATGCCTTGCAATTAAACATATCAAAAACATGAATACATGTATACATTTGCAGCTGTGACTTTGAACAATGTCCTGAAACAGTAATATATACTAACTAGGGCTGTCACAAGAATAGCTGTTAATGACAGTATCTTTCCATGTGGTAACCTCTCAGCATTTGCTATTATTGTTAGTCTTCAAAGAAGTCCTTCTATTGATCAGTTTTACTTCTCTACCACTTCTATTAGCTTTATATTATATGTGTTTGAATATACCCAACTCCTTTCTTTCTTGAAAAAACAAGAAGCAAAATATTCAAGCTGATGCTCAGATTTGCCCTGGGTTAGTAGCTCTGATTTTGGATCTTCCCCTTCCATTTACTTTTTGGATCACTTTGTTCTTGACTCTTGTCCTGTGACTTATTGCTATTTGTGTCTTCCCTGTTAGATTCAGTTGACCCTGATTCTGTAACTTGCTAGGTGTATACAAGTTACTGTAACCTTTTAATTCTCTGCTAAGATAGGGCAAATACTAAAGCCATCATTCCTTACAAGGGATTTAGAAGCATAATCAGTATATCATCACCCTTAGCACTATGCCTGTTATTCCCCTTGTAAGCTGTATACTCTTTATGAACCAAACTTGTGTTTTCTCAGAACCTGTACTTTTCAATCTCTGATTTTTGCAAATGTACATCTTTTTCTCACTATGAGGCACTAAGAATGAATTTATGTAGTCCACCACTACATAATAGGTTTGTATGTAAATTATTCATAAAGGACCTAGGGATAGGGATGCAGCTCAGCAGCACACAGCATCCACCTACCAAGCACAAAGTCCTGCGTTCAATTCCTGGTGCGAAACAAATAGGACCCAAACTAATATTCATACAGTACAGAACCACATATATACAAAATATTGACTATAAACAGTAAGTAAATGTTTAGGAACTCATGATTACCAAGATTTGCTTTAGAACAGAATTATGTCTAATATTTTTTAATTTAAGTCTTTATCTCAACTTTCTCCAAAGTATATTTTGTGTATGAATCTCCTAAGGCCCAAATGATTGGTATTTCACTCTTTGCTCCTTTCCTCTTAATTCACCATTCATTCACTTACAGTACTTGAGGCTGAACCAGGGAGCTTGAGACAAGGCCTCACTAAGTCACTACTAAGTTGTTTATGTTGGCATGAATTTGAGATTTTCCTACCCAAACCTCTCAGAGTACTAGGACTGCAGTTATATATCACCACATCCAACTCTTTAAATTGACTTTTTTTTTTCATCTGCAATGGGATCAAATTCACAGCCTTGTACATGGTAGGCAAGGAAGGACACAAAGACATTCACAGCACCCCTTTGCTTTTGTAGATATTATAGCACATACATAAATGCAAAATAACCATAATGAGAAACCAGTACCATTTTGTTTTGTTCTGTTTTTTGCAATAGGGTCCTGCTATGTAGCAGGTAGGGCTCAAACTGGCTGACCCTCATGACTCAGCTTTCCAAATACCAGTATCACAGGCATGCATCACCATATCTGGCTTACATATCTATTATTTATTTATCCATTATTTTAACTATCATTTATCTATTATTTTAACAGCTGACAATATCAAGTGCTGCTGAAGCTGTGGAGTAACAAGTTTCATACAAAGTGGTGGGAATGCCAAATGATAAAGCACCTTCAGATAGTACACCAACTTTTTCCTACAAGGAAAAACATATATATTCTAATAACCACAATCCTAGATATTTATCCAACGAATAAACACAGGCCCACACAAAAACTTCCAGGCTGTACTCAAAATCCGGAGACAATCCAAGTGTTCATTAATAAGTGGATAGATCAAAACAAAACAAAAAAACAAGTGGATGGATAAACTGCAGTATTGCCATACTATGAGATACTTGTCAGCAACATAAAAGAATTAACTAGTGAAGACATGAAACAAAACAGATGGATTTCAAAAGCACTTTGATAATGGACAGAAATCAGAAACAATGGCTACAAACCTTGAAATTTACATACAATTTTATTCCAAAGAAAGAGAAACTATAAGGACAAAATGGAGATTAGTGGTTACCATGAACTATATATAGGGAAAGATACTGGCTACATCTGATTGCTCTACATGTACAAAGGAAAAACCAAAATTTTAAAAGCTTTCCTAGAAACTGGACGGATAAGAGGCTTAATTAAAAGCAGTAAGAGTGCTAGAATGTGTTTTGTGTTGGTATCGGGAATTGAACTTAGGACCTTATACTTCTCTGGCAGGTGTTGTACTGTTAAGCTACAGAATGTGTTTTAAATTAGTTTTTCTGAGGCATATGAAAAATTAAACAGGTATAATTTTTTTATACCAACCTGAAGATTAAAGGACCAAGAATACTAAAGGTCAAAGCTTTCTGGGCATGGTGGTGGAAGGCCTATGATCCCAGCACTCAGCAGGCCAAGGCAAGAGTACTCAAGTTCAAAGCCATTCCAGATTACCTCAGTATTGATATCAATCCCAGACACAATAAAAATAAAACGCTTGAGCTTAAAACAGGTGGCAACCTCATTAACAATTCTTTGTTGGGCGGCCGGGGATGTAGCTCAGTGGCGTAAGCGCCTGCCTGGCAAGTGCAAGGTACTAAGTTCAATCCCTGGTGCCGCCAAAAAACGAAACAAAACAAAAAACAAAAAAATTCTTTGTAACCTTTCCAAAGTGACACTTTTATGAATATATCAAAAGATGAAAAGTCATGAGATGAGCTGGGCGTGGTGGCACAGACCTCTAATCGCAGCACTCAGGCCACACAAGACCAGCCTGAACTATTCAGTGAGACTATCTCAAAAGGAACCCCTCCCCCCCAAAAGGTCATGAGATGGCTACCTGATTTTTAGGAAAATTAAGATAGGAGTTTTAATTTTGGGGGGAGGGATCTCACAATTTCATCCAAGATGACCTCTCAACCTCATGGGCTCAAATGATCCTCCCAATTCAGCCTTTCAAGTAACTGAGACTGTAGCTGTTTTACCCTACTCTCAAGTACACAGAAAAAATAGGTGAAAAATACTGTTTTTTAAATAAATAATTACCTCCAAGATGAGATTAAGGTTTGTGGTAAGAGCCCGAACACGGTGAAAACCAGCAATCAGAGAAATAGGCAAGAAACCTTGTTCATCCATCTTTCTCCGAAGAAAGAAGTCTCGTTCCAAATTTTCTACACTAAAGTAATATTCACTGAGAAGAGAAATAAGTAAACATAAATATCCATTTATTTTAATATAACAGCATATTAAGCATAGATACAATAGTTTAATACAACATAAAAATAGCCCCAAAAAACCTTAGTAACTAATCTCTTATCTGAATACAAACTTCAAATTCTGATTATTTTCTTTTACCTTTTTTTTTTTTTTTTTTTTTTTTTTGGCAGAACTGGGGATTGAACTCAGACCCTTGTGCTTGCCAAGGAAGTGCTTATTCTACTGAGTCATCTCCCCAGCCCTCAACCATCTCCCTGGACCCCAGCCATCTCCTTGACCCCCTTGATTGTTTTCTAAAAAAATCATTAACTAATATTTAGACCAGCTTCACCTAAACAAAGAATTAGGAGCTCATTTTATTTTAAAATAATCTAGTAATTAATTTCTTTTGAGACGGGGTCTCACTATGTACCCCAGGCTAGCCTCAAATTCATAATCTTCTTGTCCCAGTTTCCCTAACTACCTCTACTTGGTTCATTTAAATATTAAATAGCCAAGAATGGTGGTACAAGCCTGTAATCCCAGCACTCAGGACGCTGAAGCAGGAGGATCACCTAAGTTTTACCCCAGCCTGGGCTACATAGGCCAACCTGTACTACACAGTGAACCACTGTCTCAAAAAACACCAGAAAGAAAGAAACAAAAGGATTGCCCTACATGCCCTACAGTTTAATCAGTATTTAGATCAGCACACACTGTCATCACAGAGAAATTTTTCAAAGAAGGCAACTTATCAGAGTATACCAGTTTGTATTTTTGGGTGTAAAACTCTGACTACATCATCTTTGTACTATTTCAGACAAATTCTAGCTTCAGGCCGTTAGAACTTTTGCGTTTTTTGTTGTTGGGTTCATTTGAGACAGGGTCTCACTAGGAAGCCCAAGGTGACCTTGAACTCACAGCAATCCTCCAGTCTCAGCCTCCCAAGTAAGGGCATTGGTTATAGGTATGCGCCACAACGCCCAACCACTTAGGATCTTTGACTGGAGAATGGGGGGGGGGGGAAATCACCTCATGCAAAAAATGCAAATAAATTTTCTTAATGATATTCACCTAAATCTCAAAATACAAAGCTTTCATCAGGACAGAAACACACACGCTCTGGGAAGCTGATAAGGAAGGACCACAAGTTCAAGTCCAGCCTGGTCATTAGTCTTTTTGAGCACTATAAAGAAAAATTTTTTTTTTTTATACTTTAGGGAAGGGTATATACAGGGTGTTGAGGGTCTCACTACTAAATCAGACTTGTAGTGATCCTCCTGTTAACAGCCTCTCAAGAGCTGGGATTACAAGCCCACGCCACCATGCCCAGTCTCAACTGCCACCTCAGCAGTGCTCCGAGGGCAGGGCCAGCACAGCAGGCCCGGGAATCAAACCCCCAGGCCCCTGCGCCTGCTTGCAGGTGCTTTAATCTGCTGAGCTATTTGGCTGGCCCTTAAAAAAATCTAATCTTGAGGAAATGAATATTCTGATTTTTGTTATTCTTCAAAAACACTGTTCAGGGCTCTCCAGATAGCTCAGGGGATTCAAGCACCTGCTTAGGCAGATGTAGGAACCAGGGTTCGAACCCTGGCTTGCAGTGTGGGCCTTGGCCCCACTCCCAGGGCGTGCTGAGATGGATTGAGCCTGGGCATGGTGGCATGTGCCTGTAATCCCAGTGTTTGGGAGCTGAAAACAGGAGAATCAGAAGAGCCCTATGTGTGTAGTGAGACCCTGTACTAAATACATTAAAAAAAAAAAAAAAAAACCTATTCACAATACAGGCACATAACAGATATAGTGAAACCCTTAAACTTCAGACATTAAGACAGATGTATGTTTTAGTCACAACTATTCTTGGACACAAATTTCCATGAATCCATGATAACCTTCCCAGCCTAGCACAAGGCTATAATTCTAGCAATATGGGAGGGTAAGGCAGGTGGACTGCAAGTTCGAGCCAGTCTCCAAATTTAAACACAAACAGAAGGCTATAGGGACTTAGCTCCACCATCCCCTGCACCACAAACAAAACAAAAACATATTAAAAAGCCACCTTTTACATGTAATACTCTGAAAACCAAAACTTCTAAATACCCTTTTTTTTTTTGTATTTTAGGGAAGGGTGTACAGAATGTTCAGGGTCTCGCTACTAGATCGGACTTGTAGTGATTCGCCTGTTTACAGCCTCCCAAGAGCTGGGATTACAGGCACACACCATCACCCCCAGTCTCAACTGCCTTGTCAGCGTGCCCCGGGAGTGAGGCCAGCACTGCAGGCCTGGAGATTAAGCCCCAGGCCCCTGCACCTGCTTGCAGGTGCTTTAATCTGCTGAGCTAATTGGCTGGCCCCTAAATATATTTTTAAGTCTATTACCTATAGTACATATTTTTTACACCTTCTAATAAGGTGCTAACATTTTAATATCTGAATTTGAATGCCAAGATGGTCTGAACTAGAAACAACCAAAATCTTCAAAATTAAATATTCTGACATGAAAAGTATAAAAATCTCACCTAAAATTATTTATGAATCATTTTTAATAGTTACCTTTAGAAACATTCAGCATCATTTTCTATAAATAGAAGGAAAGCTAAGATGGCTTCGAAAAGAAAAATCTAACCCCAATCTGTCAGCCTACCTAAGGTTCTATATACTCAAGGTATACAAAGTCAAAACTATGACTCTTCAAATCTAGATCTCCACCAACCAAAGCATGCTAACAATTAAGAAACCTCCCTAAAACAGATGGCTCCTCTAGCATTTGCCAAAAACAAACACTGCTCCTGAAACAACCAAAAAAGAGTCATGACACCAATGTGGTATCTGCCATTATATTATGCTCAGTGCCCTAGAGGACATTACCATGTCCAACCATAGCAGCTCTGGATTCTATGCGGCATCCTCAGAAATACTGTCAACAATGAAGTAACTCTGCTCCTCCCTCACTTGTATGAGCAGGGGAGGCCGATTATCCTGACCCTTCTGCATGTCTACAGTCAGTTCTCACAAGGAACCTGGCAGCAACAGTTACAATAAAAACAGGAATAATGGTAGGAAGTTAAAAGTCACATGCCAGGCACTTTCTGCCCACAAAGAGGCTCTTTCTTCAGTGTGTACATCACCTGTAACAAAAGCAGTAAGAACAAAATGAACAAGGCGCGTCACACTGTAAGCCTATCAAATCCGTATGAAGGTACCCAGACAGGTGCTCAGCGGATGCAGCGAAGAAATTCCTTTCAAATAACAAAGCAGAGCTCATTTTCTTTCTTAAACAGACTTAAAAAAAAAATGTTACATTCTTTCAAAATTAGTTGTTTTCCTTCAGCTTGGAAAGGTAGAAAAATTCGAATCTTCTAAGGGGGTTAAGCAAATCAGTCAGGGAGGATTTCTCTCATTGACTACATAAATGCATTTCCATATTTATACAGAAATATACAAAATGCTCTTATAATAGTTAATTTAAAGAGGATTTTTAAGAGACTAATATTCCTCTTTTTTTTGTTTTAAGACTAAGTCTACTACTATGTAGCACAGGCTGGCCTTGAAGCCTCCTGAGTGCTAGGATTATGGATATAAGCCACCATAACCAGTTCATATGACTTTAAAGTCAATATCCAGAAAATAACTATGAAGAGTAATGATTCTGAAATAAAAGAGTAAGTTTTCTTTAATATATACCACAGAAAAAGAACTTGATATAAACAAATTCAGAATTCAGAAACTATCTGCCACTATTTTTGTCATTTATGTACATTTGCAAAACTTTAGTATATTTAGAATTTAGTATATCTAGATGCAAATGGATCTACATCTGCCAATGATGAGCCAGGGTTTCACCTGTGCATTTAGAATAATATCTAGAAGTTTTATATTCTTTTACATATTCCCATTATGTAATATTTTTAATGAAGTTCTTAAGAGAAGTAACACCTAAATGGTATTGCAGACATCATATAAACAACATGAATGAACTCTACCCATCTATTTATATACTTTTCTAGACCTTTTTGCTCCAGGGCTACAGACTGAACCCAGGCTTCACTCATGGTACATTCATGAGCTCATGAGCTACATTCCCAACTCATATATTTGACATAGGGTCCCACAAGGCTGACCTTGAACCTGTAATTCTGTCTCAGCCTCCCAAGTAGCTGAAATTATGGATATGTGCCACCACATCCAGCTAAATATAACCATTTTAAAATACACTATTTTACTAGTATTTCCTATAAAAATAGTTATAATATTCTCTTCAACTTTATATTAATGGTTTAAAAAATGTTAAGTTCACATTCTTGATAACTAGTCACATAAAAAGTTTGATGTTGCAACAAATTTCACTATCCCATATAATTATATCTGACATCAACTTACATTTGACGCTTAATATATTCTTTCAGCAATGCTTCATCCACCTGATACACCTGTATGCCTGTCCCGTCATCATAGTAATACATCATACTGGTAGTAAGTTCTGTGTGTAACGGCTGCTCAGTCCTTTCACCATGTTCTCCATAACCATACGTATCCTCAAAGTTTACTTGATGTGAATTAAAAAAAAAAAAAAAAAAATTAAATAAAGGAAAACGCCAAGTGAACCACTTTCAAGGGTTTATAAAAATAAAGCCATCTTGGGGCCGGGGAGATGGCTCAGTGGAATAAGCGCTTCCCTGGCAAGCACAAAAGCCTGAGTTCAATTTCTGGTTCCGCAAAAAAATAAAATTAAATTAAAAAAAAAAAAATAAAACAATCTTTTATTACTAGACCAAAAAAACTAGTTAAAACATAAGAGACAATAACATGAAAAACAGTTTGCTCACTTTTTTCAAAGTTTATCTAATTGAACAAAACAAAAAAATGTATATCATACGTCGAAGATTTCCTCTGCCTCGTCCTCTTCCCCATCCCCGGCCTCTTCCTCGGCCTCTAAAGGAACCTCGGATCGTACCACCCTCACTTCTCACACTGGACACTTCATCTTGATCATCTCTTTTTTCTCTTTCTCGCCTCCAACCTTTGTAAAATAAAAATATTTTTAATACATCCAACTTGCAATAAAATGCCACAATTATCTTATGAAAACATATCAACCCCCCTCCAACTTTAGAACTAGTGAAAGTAGCCAGGCTGTCTTCAGATACATGCTTTAAAAAGTATCTCAGGGGCTGGGGATAGAGCTCAGTGGCACAAGGGCCTGCCTGGCAAACACAAGGTCCTGAGTTCGAGTTCAATTCCTGGTACAAAAAAACAAAACAAAAAACCCTCTGGTACTTTCCCTTTCTCTGTTTCCTGCCACCAAAAAGTGAGCAGGTTGGCTCCTTCATGCCCTTCCGCCACACTTCCACAAGCCCATCACAGACTGAAACCTCTGAGACGGAGCCAAAAGATTTATTTTATTTTATTTTTATTTATTTATTTATTTTTTTTTTTTTGCGGAACCAGGGATTGAACTCAGGTCCTTTTGCTTGCCAGGGAAGTGCTTATTCTACTGAGTCATCTCCCTGGCCCCGATTTCTTTTAAAATGTTTTTTTTTTTTTCTTTTTTTTTGCCTGGCAAGTACAAGATCCTGAGTTTGATCCCTGGTACCCCCAAAAAAAAAAAAAGCCTTAGAAAATTGATACAGATGGTAAACAAAAATAAATAAATAAATGAATAAAAAAGAAAAAAGATACATTAAAAAGATATTTAAGGAAAAAGATATTTAATAAAATATGCTAAAAAGATTAATAGGCCCTTTGCAAAGATAATTCAGTTAAATATTCATAGTGCAGTTAAATATCTAAGTTCCAAAACTACAAAGTGCATACAATATAAAACTAGACATGGTGGGCACACATGTTTAAAACCAGCACTCTGGCAGTTTAAGATAGGAGGACCCAAAGCTCAAGCCCAGGCAGAACAAATGTCATGCAAAAGCCCTGGGTTTAATTCTCGAGACCACCAAAAAAAAAAAAAAAAAAAAAAAAGACAAGACCCAACTTATCAAAAATACTTCTCAAGCTGGATTAGTGGTGTACGCCTGTAGTCACAGCACCAGGAGTCTGTGGCCGAAGGAAAGCTGCAAGTTGAAGGCCAGCCTGAACCACACAGTGAGTTTAGGAACAACACGGACTACATAGTATGACCCTGTCACAAAAATATAACATCTCGTAAAATGTTTAAAGAAGCCAGGCATGGAGGCACACACCAGTAATCACAACACTCGGGACTCTGAAACAAGAGGATAATTACAAATCCGAGACCAGGGTGGGTTACAAAGTGAACTCAAGAACCCTAAAAGCTTCAGTGCTGTTAAAACAACTGTTACTATGCAACAGCAACCATCAGCAGTCATGTACACCTGTAATCCCCCCTATTTAGAGCAGGATCACAAGTTCAAGACCACAAAAGGCAACTTAGCAAGACCTATGTCCAAATAAAAATTTAAAAGGGCTGAAGTGTACTTTCTCAGTGGTAGAACACTTGCCTACTATGCACAAGGGCCTGTTCCGGTATCACAATCTTCAGTACCACAAAAATAAAAATTAAGAGCCAGCGAGATAGATATAGCTCAGGGCACTAAGGACCTGCTGAGGCAAGCACAGGGACCAGGGTTTGATCCCTGGCACCACATGCCACACTGGCACTGGCCCCTCCCAATGCCGGCCCCACCCTGGGTGTGCTGGGTGTGCTAAGCTAGCCACTGAGACCCAGTTGTGCAGTGAGACCCTGTATTACACACATAAAAATAAAACTTAAAAAACTATGCTACGTTTATATTGTTCTTGTGAAATATAGTCTAAGGAGATCTAAAGAGATTAAGTTATCTACAATTTACTCTTAAATAGTATGTGGGGTTTTTTGTTATTTTTTCCTTTTTGAGACAAGGTCTCGATATGCATATCAGGCTGGCCTTGAGCTCACTGTGTAACCCAGGCTGGTCTCGAACTCCCAATGATCCTTCTGCCCCAGCCTCCTGAGTACTAGGATTATAGGCATGCACCACCACTCCCAGCTTATAGCTACTAATCTAATAAGCACTAAAACAAAAAGGTTCTAGTCATGTTTCTCTTAGTATGCAACTTACTCCGTGTATCATTTCGCCTATTATTATGTGTTGATTTATTTGCTTCAGCTTGACATCTTGAGTTATTCCGGGATCCAGGTCTTTCTTGACTGTCCGGCCTAAGGTCATCTAAGTGGAGTGGTACCCACTTGTGCTTATTAGCTTAAAAAAAGCAGGATAAAATTAGCAATTGTCAATTTTCATTAAAGCTTTGTAATGCTAAGTTTATTAATTTATAGAATTATTTGTATAGTATCAAAAATACTGTCTTCACATAGATACTTAATTAACTTATGCAAAATGACTAAAAATCAAGTGAGAAGTGTAGACCTTGATCCAGACCTTCGTCAGGCCCATGACCCAGGTTAAGGCTTGGTGTGGTCACCCACCTGGACACAGAGAACAATGCAGAGGAGCTCTGGCCCACTAGTGCCATTACATTATTTTGGCTATGGCTACGCCACCCTGGTTGCTACCGGTGGGATCACTGGCTATGCAAAAACAGCGTGCCGAGGGCTACCTGCCGCTGGGCTCCTTTTTGGGAGCTGAGTGGGCCTGGGGGCTTACCAGTTGTCTCAGGACCCCAAGAACATTTGGGTTTCCCTAGTTAGATCTGGGACCTTGGCTGGCATTATGGGAATGAGATTCTACCACTCTGGAAAATTTATGCCTACAGGTTTAATTGCAGGCGCCAGTTTGTTGATGGTTGCTAAAATTGGACTGAGTGTGTTGAGCAGGCCACATTCACAGCACTCACGTCCAGCTTGGCTGAACTCAGGAAGAATTAAAAATCTCCGGACTTCCACTTTTTAAATGTATTGAAGAAATGCAGAACATGTATACAATTTAGCATTTTACTTAAAACAAACAACTGAACTTGGTGAGGAAAAGCGTTAGTCACTAGCATCATACCCTTCAGAGGTGGTTGTATAGGCAGAGAGCTCAGCGATGCCCTCACATGTTGGGTCTTCTGAGGCGAGCCTACCTCTTGTTTCTGTATCAGTAGTTAGAAATCACAAGCAGTAAGATGCTAGCATCAAAAGCCCCCAAAGCCTCATGCCCTGCTCAGAACATTATGAAAATCTTCTGGTATGTTCTTTTGCTCCTCTTAGAGCACAGACCTATTTTGAAATTACATTAAATGGAATAATGAAAATAAAATTATAAATAAAATAAAATAAAAATCAAGTGATAAGCCAATGGTATACCATTGGAATTATTTTAAGAGAAATGCTAACTATTCTACTTAATTTGAGGGATAGGTTTTTAAAAATAATATACATACGTACTATTCCTGCCTACTAACTTAAATTCTTAGGCTTTACAATGATACATATGAAAAGACATCATAATGCTTAGGCAGTTAGGTTTTGGATTCAAAATACTTTTAGCTTCAGATCACTGCCTAAAATATTTATTTATCTAGGATTACTAACAAATGAAGTTTCTCAAAGTGTAAGTGGGGTGAGTACAAAATCTGTAATTTGACAGAAAAAAGTTTAGACTTATTACATATCTAACTAAGGAAAGATACAATCAGATTAACTTTTCTTGATGACTAATGACATAACTAATTGCTAGTTAAATTAGAGTAAAATTCTGAACATCATATTTTCATGAATTCTAAAGTTAAGGCTTCTTATTCAGTGTTCTGTCCAACTGACATGTTCTACCCAAGTAAAAAGGTTCAAAGCAAAATAAAAACTACAAAGTAATTAAAGGGAGAGAAGTGTGTAATTAAGTACTGGTTTTCTATAAATCCCATGTCAGATGAAGGGCATAACGTGAAAAAAAAAATCTTTATTCTTTAAAACGTTTCATAAATTCTATCAACAATATTCCAGGCATAAGCATACCCTTCTATGTAAGAAATATACTCTTGCTGAGTATGGTGGCACACACCTACAATCCCAGCATATGGAGACTGCAGCAGGAGGATCACTGCAAGTTCAAGGGCAGTCTCATAGTGAGACTCTGCCTCCAAAAAAAGAAAAGTATATTCTCTAGGAAATCAATTCATGGCTTGATTTTACAATCATTCTCCAAAACACCTGGTGCTAGTATTAAACAATCAATTTTCAAAAAAATCAACTAACTAGCAGGACAAATATTAGGATATTAGGCCTGTCATATGTAGGAATTCTAGACAGCCAAAGACTACTAACCTCTTTAGAAAGCAGGAAAAAAGTACTAACGTGGGTAAAAAGTGAAACATTTCTCTAACAGCGCTTGGTTGCCCTGTTTCATCTACTTTTCAGCAATTTTTTATCCCTTGCTTACTGTATCAAGGGGGCCTAATGTATATCCTGCAGCAAATAGCTCTTCATGAGAAAAATAAATTAGTCAATTAAGTGCTATTTTTCTTTCATATAGAACACAAGAAAGCAAGGAAACAAAAAGAGAGACAAGAGATAGGCAGATTACTGCAAGTCCGATCTAGTAGTGAGACCCTGAACACCCTGTATACCCTTCCCTAAAATACAAGAGACAGAGAGGTGATAGCCTGTAAATTGCAAGATTAAGAAGTTGTGAGGAATGCCATTCAATGTCTCCTATTTTGTATTTACATACTGTATATTTATAGGTTGTATTTACTGCAGCATAAATGTTTCAGTGACTTTTATGACACTCAAAATGAAATGATTAGGCTGGTAATATACCTCACTGGTAGAGCATGCACTTGCCTAGCATGTGTGAAGCCTTGGGTTTAAACCCCAGTACTTTAAATAAATTCATTAGCACCAAGTTACCAGATCATACAGATTATGAACCATGCCCATGTCTCTCAACTTAGCCCTGTCCCATTCTCTGGGCTCAAAACATTGAAAGAGTATAAATGCTTTTTTTTTTTTTTTTCAAATGCTTTTACAAACCAGGTAAATTATCTATTTGTACCTAGACACAATGAAAAGTTCAGAAAAAAATGGAAAATATAAAGATTTTTTTTTCCCCTTCAAAGTATATTTTTATAGGGAAATTCTGAAGAGAAAAAATTTATCTTCTATTTTCTCTTTTAAAAAAATGAATCCTGAAAAATTTCATTTCCTCAGAATTACACACACACAAAAAGAAAAGGCAAGGTTAAAAAAATAGTAATCACAACTTTCTATGAATATATCTACGCTCATGCTATACCTGAAGTTCATCCCATTTTTTGGCATAATAGAATACAAGAAAGAAAGAGAGACAAAGAGAATGACAGAGACGGAGAGACAGACACAGATAGAGTGACAGACAGCTGATGGGCCCAGAAATGTTATAGTAACATTAGGCAGTAACTAAATAACTAAGGCAGTAAGCTAAGGCAGATAGTTTATCCTAAAGCAACACGAAGCACAGAGCCATGAAGACCACAGACAATTCTTGGTTACTACAACTTTCTTCAAACACTGAACAACCAAAGGAGACACAGACTACTGACCTCTCCTGCGATGATTACTTGACTGGGTCTCATCCTCACTCACATTTTCACCAGGACCATTTAATTTGGTTTCTCGGTTTTCTTTGCTCTCACTGTTACTTCTCTTTTCAACCTTATCTTCTTTTTCTTTTCTAATTTGGGGCTTCTTATTGCTTTGGCTTAGGCCACTCTGAAAATGCAGAAAAGTTTTTGGAACAGAACAACTATTTATTAACATTTTCACTAGCACGTCCCAAAATCTGTAGTAATATACTTTACCTAAATATTGCAAAACAAATGACAATTTCTGAAATATAGAACAACATTTTGGGCCAGCCAAATAGCTCAGCGGATTAAAATGCCTGCTTAGGCAGACACAGTGGCTGGGGTTTGATCCCCCGTCTGCTATGCTGGCCCTGCCCTGGGGCATGAGATGATGGCTGAGATTGGGTGTGGTGGTACACCCAGAATCTGTAATCCCAGCTCTTGGGAGGCTGAACACAGAAAGATCACTGAGACTGGAGATCGATTTATGAAGTGAGACCCTGTATTAAATACAAAACAAAAAAAAAAAAATGTTGTCAGGTGCAGTGGTGCACACCTGTAATCACAGTGCTTAGGAGGCCAAGGCAAAAGGATCACCTTAAGTTTGAGGCCAACCTATTCAAGGCCAGCTTGTCGTTTCCTCTCCTGTCCCCTCTTCTTCCTTTAATCACCAAGTTCATTACCAATACTACTGGCAACATCAAAGGATGACAAGGCAGTCATGGTGGCACATGTCTGTAATTCCCAGGCATGGGAATTAGGAGGCTGAGGCAAGGAGGTCTACCTGAAAATTGAAGGCCAGCCTGGTCTTTACAGGAAATCACAGCAGCCTGAACTATACAGCTAAGACCCTGTCTCAAAAAACCAAAACATAAAAATGAAAAAGATGACTACAAACTTCACAAAAAACAACTCTTACTAATGGATCAAGTCTGTATATATGGCCCACACAGTGAAAACTCTTTTAGTCTTGTTTGTTCTTACAGCAGTGGGAATTGAATCCGAGACTTTCTCACTAAGCTACATTCCTGACTTTTTTTTTTTTTTTTTTTTTTTGCAACAAGGTCATGCTTACATTGCTAAATTGCCCAAATTTGTGATGTTACTGCCTCAGTCTCTCAAACTGCTCAGATTAGAGGCATGTACCACCATGACTGACTGAGACTTTAAATAAATTCTGCACGTTGAAATGAGAATATGTGACTTTTAATTATTCTTATAGATCTTAGATAATACTTACTCCAGTGTTCACTAATTCACTTGGTGTTGGCCAAAGAGCCATGTCACTGAAATCACTCGCCTAAAAAAAAAAAGATAACTGTTATGCCTGAAAATTGTTTTTGAACTTTTAAATAAATAGAAAAAATATTTGGTAAAGGTGATAGCAATTTAGAAAATCACCTGTCTATATTTATATGAAGATATTTGCCGAATTGACTCAAAAGCTTCTCTAAACAACACTTTGAAATACAAATGTTTTGATCTCATGATCAACTGAGCAGTACTGCGTGACATTAGGTACAAATGATGATAGAAGCATCTGGGGATATGTGGACAAATCTACGATCCTCTACAACAGTGGTGGCAAACTTGTGGCACATGTGCAGCAGCAGTTTTCATCACTGAAAACTAAAAGATTCGCCATCACTGCTCTACACTACTATCTTCAAGCTAATATAATAATCTAAGAAGAGTCCCTAAGGACAATTTTCAAAATCAATAGTTTCCTGAAAAGACATACCTTGTTGGATTTCTTTGTCTTAAGTATTCCTGCTTTAATAGGTTTTGGGGGACTGGGCTCTAAAGAAAAAGACATGAAATTGTTTTAACAACTATTTTATTCAGTATGTTTAGCAAAATAACTATAATACCAATTTCAGTAAGACAGCATAGTCTTCAGTCCTGACAAAATCCAAACTTCTGAAACTCAAAACTCCTAGCAAGAAATCAACTGCATTTAATATGTAGATTCAAATTGGCCTTCCATATCCACACCAAGAGGAGGAAAACAGGGCCAGGGCTATATAGCTTAGCAGCATAAGCACAGGGCATGGCAAGCACAATGGTCCAAATTCGATCCCTGGTTTAAAAAAAAAAAAAAAAGATAAAGAATGGAAGGAAGGAAAAGAAAAGAAAGGAAAATAGCTGAGCATGGTGGTATATGCCTGTAATCCCAAAACCCAGGAGGCTGAGGCAGGAGGATCATTTTGAGTTTTAAGGCCGGCCTGGGCTACAAAGCAAGCTCAAGGCCAGCCTGAAATGCCAAAAGTAAGTTCAAGGCCAGCCTGAAATGCATAGCACGACTCCAAAAGACACAAAAAGTAAAACATGAATAGTAGTTCAATTTACAACAAACTGATAGACCAAATATTTCATTAATAGAATATCAGAAAAATTAGCAATGTAACTAGGGTGGGGGATACAGCACTGAGGACTGAACCCAGGACATTTATACTGTGCTGCACCCCCAGATCTTGCTTCTTTTTGTCTTTTGAGACAGTGTCTTGCTAAGTTGCTAAACTGTCCAGATGAGGCTCAAAGTTGCAATTCTCCTGCCTCACCTTCCCAGAGTGTCTGAACTACAAATATATATTTTAATAAAGTTCAACTCAGTTTCTAATAGGTTGTATTTTTCTACAAAGTAATACATTTGCAAAACAGCATTCAGAAAATAGGTCATCAAAACATAGAGTAGATATTATGATACAGGAAGAAAATGTTCAAATGGGAAGGAAAACTAGGGAGGGAGAGGGTAAAAGAAAGGTAGAAGAAAAGAATGAAAAAAAGAAAAAAATAGAACCAAAACTTTTGTAAATAAGAAAGGGAAGCAGGGTTGAAGGAAGGGCAGCTGAATGCGGGGGGGAAAAGGATCACATTTTAACATGCACAGTACAAATTCCCTATAATATGATCATAATGTATACCTAAAATAGAGCAGTACATATACTAAAATGTACCTATCAGTAAACTTAATATCTTGCATAACTATATCTGTTAATCTGAGCAACAGATTTGTCCATAAAAATAGATAATATCAATCATTGTTAATGAGCTATTCTTGTTTTGAAAATCTGTAACAACATGTATTGTTGTACGTTACCCTGTTTCTGTCTCTTTTGTTTTTTCTCTTGGTTTTTTGTTTGTTTGTTTGTTTGTTTTGTTTTTGTATTTTAGAGAAGGGTCTACAGGGTGTTCAGGGTCTCACTACTATATCGGACTCGTAGTGATCCACCTGTTTATAGCCTCCCAAGTGATGGGATTACAGGTGCATGCCACCACACCTAGTCTCAATCACCATCTCAGTGGGCCCCAGGGGTGGGGCTGGCACAGCAGGCCCTGGGGATAAAACCCCTGGCCACTGCACCTGCTTGCAGGTGCTTTAATCCCATGAGCTATTTGGCCAGCTGGTCTGCTTTTGTTTTTACTCTTCAAAATAAAATAAAATAAAATTATATATATATATATATATATAATAGGTCAGAAACCTTAACTATTTGTTCTAGGAAACAAACAGGTTTGGCAACCTTACAAAGATTTAGCTAGATTCCGATTTGATTTGAAACTGTCTCATTGCTATCTGTTTATCAATAAAACTTTGAAAAAAAAAAAGATTTAGCTAGAATCAAGCCATATGAGAGAACAACTGGTCTCTAAAAGTTCATATACTTGTGGCCTAGTGGCAATGCTTCGCGCACAAGGCCCAGGGCTCAATCTCCAGCACCATGAATGAATGAATGAATGAATGAATGAATGAATGGACAGACGGACGGACGGACGGACGGACGGTGGACAATAAAGGCAAAAAATACACTATCTCCAAATGTAGAAGCTTTTATTGCCTTTTTTCATTTATTTCATTACCTGTTCAAGATGACCAGATGGTATGATTATCTACGAGAGCATTACCAAAATATTAAAAACAAAAATAAACTTGAGATATAACACAGTAATCCAGCAAAGCATGAATCCTATCACTCATGCCAACAGCCAATTAAGAGAATAAAGCAATGTTTGTATTTTTACAAAGTGCAGAAGCAGCCAGGCAGGGAAGGTGAAACTAAAGCAAGAGGATTATGGGCTCCAGAACAGCCTGGGCTATAGAGCAAAACACCATCTCTAAAAGACAAAAGTATTGGAGGAAATGGGAAGGTGAAAAAGAAGGGAAGTAAAGAAAAAAAAAAGGGGGGGGGAAGTAAAAAAGCTCAAGATTGGACACATAGCCAGGTGTATGGTGACACATACCTGTGATCCCAGCACTCAGGAGGCTGAGGCAGAAGGAACACCAGCTTGGGCTACATAGTGAGTTCAAAGCCAGCCTGAAATACATAGCTAGACCCAGTCTCAAAAAAAACAAAAACAAAAACCTGGCTATGTATCCACACATACCACTTCTCCATGATTATTATATATTGCCAACATATACTAATTTTTAAAAAGTGGGGAGACAGGCATAGTGGTGCAAGCTTATAATGCCAACACTCAAATTTGAGGCCAGCCTGGGCTACATAGTGAGCTCAAGGACAGTCAGAGCTACATATCCCGTCTCAAAACACCAACAAAGGGCCGGCCAGATAGCTCAGCAGACTAAAGCATCTGTTTAGGCAGATCACAGTGGCTGGGGTTCCATCCCCAGCATGCTGTAGCATGCTGTGCCAGGCTATGCCAGCCACGCCCCCGGGGTATGCTGAGACGGTGATTGAGACTGGACATGGTGGAGTACGTCTGTAATCCCAGCACTTGGGAGGCTGAAAACAGGAGGATCACTACAAGTATGATCTTT